ATCCCTCAATTCTATAGCTGCTGGAAGAGAAAACAAATACTACTACTCTCCACTGTCAGCCTGAGGCCAAGGAGGAGGAATTGCAAATAAACTAAAATTTAGTTTTAATTTTAGTTTATTTGGAGTAAATTACCAGTGGGAGAATTTCAAGTACTTAGGATATATATATTATTATTATTTTTTTGAGACGGAGTCTTGCTCTGTCGCCCAGCCTGGAGTGCTGTGGCACGATCTCGGCTCACTGCAACCCCCGCCTCCTGGGTTCAAGCAATTCTCCTGTCTCAGCCTCCTAAGTAGCTGGGATTACAGGCATGTGTCACCATGCCCAGCTAATTTTTATTTTTATTTATTTATTTATTTTGAGACCAAGTCTAGCTCTGTTGCCCAGGCTGGAGTGCAGTGGCACGATCTTGGCTCACTGCAAGCTCCGCCTCCGGGGTTCATGCCATTCTCCGGCCTCAGCCTCCCAAGTAGCTGGGACTACAGATGCCCGCCACCACACCCGGCTAGTTTTTTTGTATTTTTAGTAGAGACCAGGTTTCACTGTGTTAGCCAGAATGGTCTAGGTCTCTTGACCTTGTGATTCGCCCGCCTTGGCCTCCCAAATTGCTGGGATTACAGGCGTGAGCCACTGTGCCTGGCCTAGTTTTATATTTTTAGTAGAGACGGGGTTTCACCTTGTTGGCCAGGCTGGTCTCGAACTCTTGACCTCAGGTGATCTGCCCACCTCAGCCTCCCAAAGTGCTGGGATTACACGTGTGAGCCACTGTGCCTGACCGGTACTCAGGACATTAAAGAAAAAAAAATGTATTCTTCTTAAGAAGGGTGGGGACTCCTTAGCTTAAATACTACATTGTTGAACAGAAAACTTTCCCCATCCTCTTATTCAGATTAAGTCTGCCTCTTCTCTCTGCTCCTACTGTTAGAATAGGATCCTCTGCTTTGTATCATGGCTTAGTCAAGTCAGCGTCCCCTGTTGAACTAAGAGTTCATAGAGGGCAGAATTTCTGTCCAGTTCATTCTTGGTGGTTTCACAGTCATTGTTTTAAGAAATGATTCATGACCAGCCTGGGCAACATAGCGACACCTCATTCTACCAAAAACAAAACAAAACAAAACAAAAAAAATTGGCCAGGCATGGTGGCTCACGCCTGTAATCCCTGCCCTTTGGGAGGCTGAGGCAGGCGGATCATGAGGTCAAGAGATCAAGACCATCCTGGCCAACATGGTGAAACCCCATCTCTACTATACAAAAATTAGCCGGGCGTGGTGGCGTGTGCCTGCAGTACCAGCTACTTGGGAGACTGAGGCAGGAGAATCGCTTGAACCTGGGAGGCGGAGGTTGCATTGAGCCGAGATCGTGCCACTGCACTCCAGCCTGGTGACAGAGTGAGACTCCATCTCAAAAAAAAAAAAAAAAAAAAAAAATTAAATAGCTGTGTGTAGTGGTGCGTGCCTGTAGTCCCAGCTCCTCTGGAGGCTGAGGCAGGAGGATTGTTTGAGCCAAGGAGTTAGAGTGAGTGGTGATTGCACCATTGCACTGCAGCCTGTGCAGCAGAACAAGACCCTATCTCAAAAATAAAATAAAATTACAATAAAAAAAAATAAAGAGAAGAAAAATAAAAAAGAAATGGGCATTGTTCTGGGGCTTTTGTTGAAAGAGATGTGAATTCTGTGCTGCAAGAGGAAATTGACACGCATGCACTCATTCAAGGAACATTTGTTGGTACCTCGTTTGTGCTAGATGCTGGACACACAGAAATTACAGTCAGTTCCCTCAGGACTCTCACTGTCTAGAGAGAGGAGGAGCCACCAAGTGCTGGGGTGGGGCAGTCCCACAGAGCCAAATCAGAAGGGCACCTAATCCAGACAGTGGCTGCTGATGGGGAAGGTGTCAGAGAAGTCTTTCTTCAGGGGTGAGATCTGAGCTAAATTTTGGAGGAAGAATAAGAGTTGGCCAACTGGCCGGGCGCGGTGGCTCAAGCCTGTAATCCCAGCACTTTGGGAGGCCGAGACGGGCGGATCACGAGGTCAGGAGATCGAGACCATCCTGGCTAACACGGTGAAACCCCGTCTCTACTAAAAAAAATACAAAAAACTAGCCGGGCGAGGTGGCGGGCGCCTGTAGTCCCAGCTACTTGGGAGGCTGAGGCAGGAGAATGGCGTGAACCCAGGAGGCGGAGCTTGCAGTGAGCTGAGATCCGGCCACTGCACTCCAGCCTGGGCGACAGAGCGAGACTCCGTCTCAAAAAAAAAAAAAAAAGAGTTGGCCAACTAAAGAATGTGGGGCTGGGCGCAGTGGCTCACATCTGTAATCCCAGCACTTTGGGAGGTGGAGGCGGGTGGATCACCTGAGGTAAGGAGTTTGAGACCAGCTTAACCAACATGGTGAAACTCCATCTCTACTCAATACAAAAAATTAGCCAGGGGTGGTGGTGCATGCTTGTAATCCCAGCTACTTGGGAGACTGAGGTGGAAGAATCGCTTGAACCTGGGAGGCAAAAGTTGCAGTGAGCCAAGATTTCTCCATTGCACTCCAGCCTGGGCAACAAGAGCAAAACTCCATCTCAAAAAAAAAAAAAAAAAAAGAAGGTGGGAGTAGAAAGGTGCAGTAATGGGAGAAGGTGTGACACATCTGGGAACCGCCAGAGTTGAATACACCAGGCTTTGGTTTTATCCTGGAGGTCACAGGGTGCCACTGAAACTATCCAGCAAGGGAGTGGTCTGAGAAAGATACAGAGGGGTGGACAGGGTGGGGGATAGAAGTGGGTGGGGAGTGGTGATGGCCTACCCTGGAATTCATACCTGAGGCCAGGTTAGGAAACGAAGAAGAGGGGCCTTCAGAAGCTATCTGCATGAGAGACCCAGGAGCCTTCAGGGAAAAGACCCATCCTCAGGGAGGAGAGGCAGAGTCCAGCAGATGCGCCTGGCCCAGCCACAAAGCTAAGTCAATTTCTCTAAGGGGTGGTGAGTGGATTTCTGTATGTAGCTTAGTGATATGTGTGGGAATTGGATCTTTCTACATTTTGATCTTTCGTGGATTCTTGTCTGATTTTTGGGCTAGGGGTGGTGGTGGTAGGGCTTTGAGTAAAAATAAAAATCACAATGATTGCTAACAATTTTTGAACACTTATAACATGCCAGGAATTTACATACTTTAGCTCATTTGATTTTCATCACAGCCCCACACTGAGATTACCACTATGGTTATCCCCATTTTACAGCTGGAAAAACCAACCAAGCAACTCATCCGAGAAGAAGCCCTCCTACCTTACTCATGTTGGGACTGGCGCATGCCAGGTAATTGACAAAGTCAACTAAAGCAGGGAGCTGTAAGAAAAATACCTACATAGGGTAAGCATTTAATTTTGGGACAGTCGTCAATTTATACATAGTTATAAGAACTAACACAGGGAGATCCCACAGACTACCCCCCAATGGTAACATCTTGCAACCCTTCTTAACAGAATGCCTACCATGTGCCAGATACTGCTTCAGGTGCTGGAGACATAGACACAGGAAACATTAGTTGACAGAAGCCACAAGAGTGAATGAGATCCTCAGGGAGTGTCTGGAGTCAGAAGAAGGGTGGCAAAAGGAGCCCCTACCTTGAGGGGTAGGAAGAAAAGCCCTAAGGAGACCTTGAAGGTAGGAAAGAGAGAAGGAGAGGATGGTGTCATGAAAGCTAAGGTGGACAATGGTGCCAAAAAGGAAAGACAGTCCAGTGCTTCCGAGGTCACCTGCAAGGAGGCCTGGGAAGTGTCCATTGGATTTAGCAGCTAGGATGTCACAGGTGAGCCAAGTAATATGGAGGGGAGCAGGACTACAGTGCAGTGAAGAGTGAACTGGGCGAGGAAGCAGCAGTAGAGAGCACTTTACAGTGAGTCTTCCAAATCAGGTAGGAAAGAGGGGGTAAGGTTAGGCTAAAGGAGAAAATTGCCATGAATTTTGTCTCTAAAAATGATGATTAAGAGTTAATGAGAGTCAAGATTTCAGGCCTGTTAGAGCAAAGCCCCAAGGAAATAAGAGTTGGACCCTGGAGCACAGCTGAGTCCTGGCTGGAGGGGTGGGCCTGTCTTTCTGAAAGGAGATCATGGAGAAAGAGGTGCAGATAAAGCTGTGTGGCTGCTTGAAGAGGGAAGTGATTACTTCCAGCTGGGGCACTCAAGGAAGGGATACAGACATTTGAGTGCCAGGGGCATTTGAGGGTAACAATGGAGGGGTTCAGTTGGCCAAAGTTAAAGGCAGCTGAAAGATGGCAGAGGACGAGACCAGGAAATGCAGACCAAGGTGGGTGTGGGTTGGGGTGCTGGGGTCAGATGACACATAAGCGTCAAATTCCCGCTCCCAGTTGCTTCTTAGCTGCGTGTTCCTAAGAAGTTCCTTAACACGTCTGAGATTCCCCATCTGTAAAATGGCGATAATCCTAATAGGGTTGTTGGAGGAGGACTAGATAATGTCTAAAAAGAGCTCAGTCCGGTCCAGTGCTTAGCTCCTCCGTACCTGAGCGCCGAGTCACTACTATAAAGCCATCGGACGTGTCCTTTAAGGGAAATTAACTGGGCCACACGGTGTGAAGTGAACTGAGCTGGGAGAAGCCTGCACAAGACCTTGTATACACTAGCTACTCAGGAAACAACTGCATGCTCTGCTGGGCATCTCATATAGGATACGGTTTCCGTCTTTCCTGGGCTCACACATCGTCCCCAGTTCAGTTCCAAAGTTGGAAGGAAAAAGGATGAAGATGTAAATTCTTCAGTTAAGCCTCTCGCCAACTGCTCCTGCGGCGAGGCAGGGCAACGAGGTGCAGGGTCGCCAAGCACGTGCTCCCAAGGGTCCTCACTTTATTAAACCCGGCCAGCCAAGGACAAGGTAACTCCAGCCTGCAGCGCGCGGGGAAAGGCGCGCAGGCGCAGTGCTGGCAAGGGGGGGGGAGCTCACCTGTGCTGGAGTGGGCGGAGCTAAAGCCGGAGCGGCATGACGTCATGAGGACGCAGCCGCAGAGCGATTCACGTCCCGGAAGCGGCCGTGGCGGTGGCGGCGTAGGCGGAGGAGATTTTCGGACTTGCGACTTCCGAACGGCCCTGGCAGGAGGAGCGGCGTTCGGCCGGGGCGGGCCTGAGGAAACGCTCTGGGGCCCAGTGGCTCTCCCCCTGCTCCTGCCCGAACCTGCCGTCTCTCTTACGGAGCCAGTGGCCGGGTACGTGAGGTGCCGGCCCCCCCACCCCGCGTCCCCGTGTCTCCGCAGGCTGTGTGTAGCTGGGCGCTTGGGCGCAGCGGGGGCCGCCACCTGCTGGCCCCGCGAACTTGGGCGTGGCCTTCGCTGTCCTGCCGCACGGGCTCCATCAGGCCCTCCTGGCTGCAGAGGTCTTGGCCAAGGCCAGTGCGGGCGTCGACCTACCTCACCCCTTCCTGGGCTTCTACCTGGCGCCGCTCTGTGCCTTTTCGCCCTGGCTCGGCCTGCGTTGATTTCGGCTCCCGTTGGCCCCTTTGTCCCATCCCCTCAGCATCCCATTGTCGCGGCTAATTGCCTGGGACTGGTTTATGTTGCTCTTCGCCGAGGTTCCGCTCCCTCGTTTGCTGCTTAGCGTTCAGGGTAGGACTTTGAACTGGGAAAGACCGTAAAGGCTCCTGGGTTTCCTCATCAGAGAGGGCAGACGGGAATGCGGCGTTGTGATGCCGACTGCCCTGGGCGGAGATGGCCTAGGAAGTTGTTGGGAACTGAAGGGAGTGGGAAGGGTTAGAGGATGGGGCGGGAGTCCTGGAGCACGGTATTTCATTCACTCATTCAGCAGGCATTTGTTAAGCACCCACTGTGTACAGAAACAGTCGTGAATGGCGGCCAAGTAAGAGCAGGGAGTTTTACTTGGACGTGGTAAGTGCTCTGCACTTGATCTTAGCCACAAGGCCAAGAAGCGATGTGATGTGATAAGTGCTCTGTTAGGGTGAGTACGTGATCCTTTGGGAGCATTGGGGAGGGTCTCCCAGTCCAGAGTTGGAGGTGTTGGCAGAGACTTGCCAGAGTAAGGGAGTGATGTTTAAGCTGATACCTGAAGGATGAGTAGGAATTAACCAGGTAAAGAGTGGGAGAAAAATGTTCCGGGACATCATTTCATTTCAGCTCATGGGCTTCCTCGCTGCAGCGATCAAATATGCTTGGTTTTTATGAATTTTAGTTTTGATGGATCTGTGGGGAAAAGAGCATTGGACGGAGAGTCCAAAGAACAGGATTTTAGGTCTGAATAATTCACTTTGCCTTGCTCACAGGTTTACTGTGGCGCCACCTGAAGCAGTAGGTAGAAGTGTGTTGGGGACTAGACGTGCAATGCAAATGTTGGTAATTATTATGGTTACAGGATGCAGACTTCAGAACGTGAGGGGAGTGGGCCGGAGCTGAGCCCCAGCGTGATGCCCGAGGCTCCCCTGGAGTCTCCACCTTTTCCTACCAAGTCCCCAGCGTTTGACCTTTTCAACTTGGTTCTCTCCTACAAGAGGCTGGAGATCTACCTGGAACCCTTGAAGGATGCAGGTGATGGTGTTCGATACTTGCTCAGGTACAGACTTTGTGGAGTTGCTCATGTCTGCTGTGCCTTCTGCCTTCCTGCTCTGTAGTAACTAACACCGGCCATTTAGGCAGTGCCTGGGCTGTCCTTTCTGCCCTAGTGAGGAGCAGTTCTGGGAGGTCTTTTCGGCCTCTGGGTTTATCTAGGCCTACCCTGTGTCTCAGACCCAGCCCAGGAAAGGCAGATACTGGGAATGATCCTGCCTTTCAGCAGGATTCTTCTTTGTGACTGAATAAGCTCCTTCCTCCGGACTGCTGGACAGCCTTGAACATCAGGCCTTCTGCAGCTTAGAGCAGGCTTAATTTTTTCCTTTGCTCCCAATATTGGCTTAATTAATATTTAAAAATTAGGATATAATTTTGAACAAAAGTTTAAGAAATACAAAAATCTATGAATAAGCAGATACCATTTTCACTACTTTTTTTTTTTTTTTTTTGAGACAGGATCTTGCTGTGTTGTCCAGGCTGGAATGCAGTAGTGTGATCATGGCTCACTGTGGCCTTAACTTCTTCGACTTAAGTGATCCTCCTACTTCAGCCACTGTGCTTGGCTAATTAAAAAAAAAAAAATTGTAGAGAGGGTCTCGCTGTGTTGCCCGGGCTGGTCTTGAACTTTTGGGCTCAAGCGATCCTCCTGCCTCAGCCTCCCAAAGTGCTGGGATTACAGGTGTGAGCCACTGCGCCCAGCCCATTTTTGCTAATTTATTGAGATTATGGATTTTAATTTTTTCCCTCCTATCCTGCTTTGATTTTCATTCTCTATAATTTTCTTTTTTTTCTTTTGGCTCATTTTATTATGTTAAAATTATTATTATTATTATTATTATTATTTTTTGAGACGGAGTCTTACTCTGTTGCCCAGACTGAAGTGCAGTGGCGCGATCTCGGCTCACTGCAAGCTCTGCCTCCCGGGTTCATACCATTCTCCTGCCTCAGCCTCCCAAGTAGCTGGTACTACAGGCACCTGCCACAACGCCCAGCTAATTTTTTGTTTTTTAGTAGAGATGGGGTTTCACGTGTTAGCCAGGATGGTCTCGATCTCCTGACCTCGTGATCCACCCACCTTGGCCTCCCAAAGTGCTGGGGTTATAGGCGTGAGCCACTGTACCCAGCTGTTAACATTATTTTAAATTACTTATAGGGCATTCTACTCCCTAAATATGTCAGTTTTTATCTCTAAATAATTAAGGACGTTTCTTTCAAGAACAAAGTAATATCATACCTAACAAAATTAATAACTCCTTGGTATCATCCTATACTCAGTTCATATTCCATTTCCTCAGTTGTACCATCTATTTTGGCTAAATCACATTTCAGTCCAGGACTGTGCATTGTTTGTAGTTATTATGTCTTTTAAGTCTTTTTCAGTCTAATCGTCTCTCGTGACATTGACTTGCTGAAGAGACTGAGACTGAACTGACTTTCCTGGATTATTTGCTACCGAGATTTGTCTGGTTTCTTCCTCGTGGTGCAGACTAGAAGTTAGATTTAAAGGTTGAATTTGATTCAAGTTAGAAAAGTTTTTTTTTTTCCCCCCAGAGGTAAATGTTGTGTCCCTGATATTGCTTTGCATCAGGAGTCCCACAAAAACCTGATTGTCCTAAAGAGCAGAGGTTTTTAACTTGGAGCCTATGGGTGAGTTTTAGGGATCAGTGAATCCCCTGAAACTGTGTGTAAAATTGTGTGTCTGCACATGTGTATATTTCTAGGGAAAAGCTTCTAGTTTTCATCAGATTCTCATAAAGACCCTCAACCCTATAAAATACCTGAGAGAGACTGGTAGGAAGCAGGGTGAGTGGAGTTAGGTTAACCTCTGAGAATGCCATTGTGTATTTATCAGCGCCTCAGGCTGGAAATAGTGGATGGCTTGTTACTAGTTCTCTGGCCAAGGCCCTACATTTTTCTTGTTCATCTAATTTATGTCAGTATCTGTAGAGATGAGCTAGTCAGTGTTCCAGAGCTGTGTTCTCTACTGTAAGACCACTGTGCTCTTGGCACAAGGGGTAGTGAGACAGTATGGGGGGAGGCTGTTTTCTCCTTGTATAATCTCAGCATGATGTGAAGTTTGGTCTTTAGGAGAGAGGCTGTACCCCCTGGCACATTCTTTGTATGTGTGTGTATTGCCCTTTGTGGCAAAGTACAAAAGTATATCCTGCCCTGCCCTCCTCCTTTTCCTCTACTAGTCTGTAGTGCTTCTTAGCACACTAATGTGTTAGGGTTTTTCCATTTTACAGAAATTGGAGGATGTGGTAGGATTGGTTAAAGCTGGATGCAGGAGGAGCATTGGACCTAAAAGCCCCCAGGAGCCTGCGGTTTCTGTGCTTCTGGGAGAGGGAGCATTGGTCCGTGAAAGTGGCTGTCATGTTAGTTTGTGCTTTTGATTGTTCTTTTCTTAGTAAAGAGGATTTGACTTTGAAGAGAGACCTAATCTTGGGCTCTGGCTATTAGGTCTGAAGCCTAGAGCTGCAGTAAATTGACAGACTCTCTTCTGGGATCAGCTACTCTACTGCTTGGGTCTCCTGGGACCAAAGTGTCAGTAAAAACATTTTATAGAAGGGAAGAGGCTTTAAAATGAAAGTGACTTGAGTGGTGGTGTGATGTTTTTATTTCCAAAGTGGGATTGGCTTTTATTTCACTTTTACCCTGGTAGCTGCCACTAGAGGTTCTGAGGCCTAAGTAGGGTGGTACAGGTGGAGTGTGTTGAATTTCAGGAGAAAGAGATGTCATTTCATTCCCTTATAAATTTTATTAAAAAGTAAAAGCCCCTTTACACTGTTGGTGGCAGTGTAAATTAGTTCAACCATTGTGGAAGACAGTGTGGTGATTCCTCAAGGATGTAGAAGCAGAAATACCATTTGACCCAGCAATCCCATTACTGGGTATATATCCAAAGGATTATGCATCATTCTACTATAAAGACACATGCACATGTATGTTTATTGCAGCACTATTCACAATAGCAAAGACTTGGAACCAACCTAAATGTCCATCAATGATAGACTGGATAAAGAAAATGTGGCACATATACACCATGGAATACTATGCAGCTATGAAAAAGGATGAGCTCATGTCCTTTGCAGGGACATGGATGAAGCTGGAAACCATCATTCTCAGCAAACTAACACAGGGAGAGAAAACCAAACACCACATGTTCTCACTTGTAAGTGGGAGTTGAACAGCGAGAACACGTGGACACAGGGAGGGGAACATCACACACAGGGGCCTGTTGGTGGGTGGGGGGCTAGGGGAGGGATAGCATTAGGAGAAATACCTAATGTAGATGACGGGTCGATGGTTGCAGCAAACCACCATGGCACATGTATACCTATGTAACAAACCCGCATGTTCTGCACATTTATCCCAGAACTTATAACAAAAAAGTGAAAGCCCTGCATAAATTAGTTAACCTCATTCAGTAGCTCTGAAATACTCCCATTAGGGCACAAGAAAATATATTTAGCCCCAGCACGGTAGCTTATGCCTTTAATCCCAGCACTTTGGGAGGCCAAGATGGGCAGATCACCTGAGGTCAGGAGTTTGAGAGTTTGAGACCAACCTGGCCAACATAGTGAAACATCCCGTCCCAACTGAAAACACAAAAACCGGCCAGGCGTTGTGGTGTGCGCCTGTAATCCCAGCTACTAGGGAAGCTGAGACAGGAGAATCTCGAACCCAGGAGGTGGAGGTTGTAGTGAGCCAAGATGGCGCCACTGCACTCCAGTCTGGGCAACAGAGCGAGACTCCGTCTCAAAAGAAAAAAAAAGAAAATACATTCAATGCTTTGCTTGCCAACAGTTTACCTGTTTATTTTTCTGATATTTGTCTCTCTCCTAATGACTCACCTTATATATTGTCACTGCCTTTAGAATTTGGGTGTCGTCGCTTCATTGTTGCATCTGTGCTTCTCTTTCAGTACTAAATGTCCTTTATCGGGGATGGGGCCAGCAGCATTTGCTTGTTCTCAGCAACCTGAGTCTTTGGTCTTCCTTCTTCCCTCTTTAGGGGCTTCTGCATTGCCATTTGGTGGTGGTGGTAATGGCAGCGACTGTATCTGTGTTTGCTTCTGTCTGTTCCAGCTCACTTAAGGTGTGATTGCTAAGTGAATGCTGCACCCTACTTTCATCTTGATTTTTAATATATTAAAATATTTACTACTGTTTCTCCTTTTGAATTAATAGGTATTCAAAATAAACTCTCAGATAAACTCAAATTTTCAAAAACATGGACATAAGAAGATAAAGGCACAATGGGGCCAAAGAAGTCCACAATTTGTTCTTTCTTGATTTCCGTATTAGTTGAATCTTGCGCAATGATTATATATTCTTAATAAATTATAAAAAAGAATAGAGGAAAATATTAAGAATGTTTGTCAGTGTCACCTCTTAAGGAGAGTACAGCCTTACAAAACACAGGTTAAATGGTATTAACTGGGTTTCTTAACTGATTTTTTTTTTTTTTTTTTGAGACAGAGTCTTTCTCTGTCACCCAGGCTGGAGTGCAGTGGCACGATTTTGGCTCACTGCAAGCTCCGCCTCCCGAGTAGCTGGGACTACAGGTGCCCACCACCACGCCCGGCTAATTTTTTTGTATTGTTAGTAGAGACGGGGTTTCACCGTGTTATCCAGGATGGTCTTGATCTCCTGACCTCGTGATCCACCCGCCTTGGCCTCCCAAAGTGCTGGGATTACAGGCGTGAGCCACCACGCCCGGCCTTCTAAACTGATATTTTATAAATTCTTCCTTTTGGGGGAAAGCACTACAGACCTAACAGTTTCCTCACCCCAGGTGCTAATGTGTGACATCTTACCGCCTCTCCTGGGCACCAGTCCAAGTGAGAGGCCTCCTTTTCGTTTCTCCTTGACTTTCTGTGTTCCAGGCCTCCTTTCTGGTTTGATGTCCCATCTGTGCCGCCCGGTCTCCCCTCCCCAGCTGGAGGAGTGGCTGTCTGTAGTGATCAGGACTCTCTGTATTGTAGGTGGCAGATGCCTTTGTGTTCCTTGCTGACCTGCCTGGGCCTCAACATCTTGTTCCTCACTTTGAATGAGGGTAAGAACTGCCTTCAGGGGCCAGTGGTTTTTGTGAATGAATGTGGGGGAAGAACACCTGGATGCAGCCCCACCCTGTGTGTGGGAGCTGCTCTTACTGTCCTGGAGTTAGTGTTCCTCTGTGTCTGCTTGGAGTCAGAAACAGGCTCCAGAGGGACGATCCAGGCTGAGCTGCCTGCTGTGACCTTGGGCAAATTATTGGACTTCCCTGTTAAGGCCTAATTTTCCTTATCTCTAGAGGGAGGATAAAAATGATGCTTTCCTCCTAGAGTATTTGTGAGGAATGCAGCAGTCCAGGCATAATACTTAGCACAGTGCCTGGCATGGAAGAGGCAGCCAGTGCATTGTAGCTGCTCTCAGTATTATTGTTGTTTCCTTCTTGACTTCCTGCTGAGGATGCATTCACCTTTTTCCATTTTGGTTTTCAAGCTGATTCAAGGGTCATCTGGGGACATGGCATGGGTAAAGGTACTGGGAAGGGGAGCTGATAAGGGATTTTTGCCATATCTGTTGCTTTTCTCTGGTTCAGCTAGTGAGCCTAGCAGGAGCTGCTGGGCAGTCATCAGCAGTGAGGAGTGGCATAAAGCCTTTGAGATAGAAGTGTGGACACATGGGTGTCTTGGGGTCCTGAGTAATGTCTCCTATGAACCTCTTAACTACAGTACATACTGTGACCCTACCCTGTCGGTGGTTGGCACTGGCAGATGGCCACATAAAAAGACCCCTCAGGGTGAGAATAAAGAGTCTGGGACAGAATGTTTGGAGGAGCTGGGCCATTATTCATGTTTTTGTTCTTATATTTACCTTGTATTTCTCAGGTGTCGTCTTTGTTTCCTCTGGAGATAGGGATCGAGTAGGTTGAAAATAAATCCAGTTCATACAAGATCTCATTTTCTGTTTCTTAGTTGGACTCATCTTTACCTGTTCAAAACTTTGTAGGATGTTTGATTTTTTCTATATATGCTCCCAAAGTAAATCAGTTCCTGTGACATGTTTAATAAGCATTTATTATGTGCCCGCTGCTCTGTTAGCTTGCTGTTGGGGTGCCATGTTACATGGAAGAAGTTTCTCCTTTGAATTTTATCTCAACTTCGCCATTTCTCAAGGCACAGTTGTCTGCAGTGTCCTAAAAGCTGAACGAAAGACCTTCCAGTCTTCCTTAGTGGCCCAGAGGTCCGAGTGTCAGGCACCAGGAGCACCTGGCAGTCACACTCCAGCGTGAACCTCCTACTGTGTGCTAGCAGCGTCTTAAAATGTATTAAAAGTGAGAATGGAGCCACAGCAGTGACCAAAGGGACAAAGTCCCAGCCCTCAAGAGCTTACTTAGTAGAGGAGACAACAGACATGCCTGTAATGTGTCATGTGGTGATAAGGTCTATGAGGAGTGAAGCTGGGTTAAGGGGGCTGGAGAATAGGGTTTTGACACTGTGTCATACAGGGCCATCAGGGAAGAAGGCCTGACTGGCAGAGCCCTGGAGGAGGTGAGGAACAAGCAGTGGGCGTCTGGGTGGGCCGACTCCTGGTCTTTGCTTACCTGTGTTACCTGCAGTGTTTTTGATTCTGTAGGTGCATGGTACTCAGTAGGTGCCCTGATGATTTCAGTGCCCGCCCTGCTGGGCTACCTTCAGGAGGTTTGCCGCGCACGGCTGCCTGAGTCTGAGCTGATGCGGAGGAAGTATCATAGCGTGAGGCAGGAGGACCTGCAGAGAGTTCGCCTGTCTCGTCCCGAGGCCGTGGCTGAGGTGAAGAGCTTGTGAGTATGGAAGACAGGCCAGGGAGGTGGGGGAACAGTAACAGCAGCCATGACACTAAGTGCTAGCTTTGTGTGCCAGACATTATATTAGGCAAACCACAGCTGTTATTTCATTTAACCTTTTTAACAGTTCTGGGAGGTAGCTAATATTAACATCTTCCATTTATGGGTAAAGAAAAAGGCTGACTTACTTAGCTAGAAAGTGGCCAAGCTGGGATGAGAATCTAGATGTAGCTGTTTTCACAGCTCCTATTCTTTCTGCTGGAGAGACAGTTTAGGGTCTTGATTAAGCATGTGCATGTATAAGCCACTGCCTGGGTTCAAATCCCAGCTCTCCCATTTACTTGCTGTGTAGCATTGGGCAAGTTGCTTAGCCTCTCTGTGTCTCAGGTTTCTCATCTGTTAAAATGGAATGATAACAGGGCTTACTCACAAGGTGGTTGTGAAGATTGAACAGGTGTCTGGTACCGGGGAAGTGTTGAGTAGATACTAGTTATCACTATACTGTGGAGAAACTTCCTAAACATGACAGAGCTGGTACTTCCGAGGAAGCATTTTAAGACTTGAAAATACTCATCTAACAACTTCAGTAGCAGTGGGCATTTACCCCTCCCTTCCCTGGAGTGGGGTCTCTGCATTCTCTTGAGATATAGTAGGAGCAAAAGAAGTTAAAAACAAATAGATGTCTGGGCCTCACCCCCAGAAATTCTGAGTCAGTTTTCTGGAGTGGGCCCTGGATATGTAGTTTTTTTAAAAAAGACTTTCTTACTTTGAAATAGTTTTTTATATGTATGTGTGTATACATACACACACATATATATATATATATATATTTTTTTTTTTTTTTTTTTTTTGAGACGGAATCTTGCTGTGTCGCCCAGGCTGGAGTGCAGTGGCACAATCTCGGCTCACTGCAAGCTCCGCCTCCCGGGTTCACACCATTCTCCTGCCTCAGCCTCCCGAGTAGCTGGGACTACAGGCGTCCACCACCAAGCCCGGATAATTTTTTGTGTTTTTAGTAGAGACGGGGTTTCACCGTGTTAGCCAGGATGGTCTCGATCTCCTGGCCTCGTGATCCGCCCGCCTCGGCCTCCCAAAGTGCTGGGATTACAGGCATGAGCCACCATGCCCGGCCGTTTTTTTGAGACAGAGTCTTGTTATGTCACCCAGGCTGGAATGCAGATCTCGGCTCACTGCAGCCTCGGCCTCCTGTGTTCAAGCGATTCTCATGCCTCAGCCTCCAGAGTAGCTGGGATTACAGCTTCCACGTCCAGCTAATTTTTGTATTTTTCATAGAGATGAGGTTTCATCATGTTGGCCAACCTGTTCTCGAGCTTCAGCCTCAAGTGATCTGCCTGCGGCCTCCCAAAGTGCTGGGATTGCAGGCATGAGCCACCGCACCCAGCCTGAAATAGTTTTAAACTTAAAGAAGTGCAAGAATAATACAAAGAACAGCCTTATGCCCTTTACCCAGATAGAACAATTGTTAACATTTTGGTGTGTTGGCTTCGTCTGTCTCTCTACATATACATATTCTTTTCTTTTTCCTAAACCATTTGAAAGTAAGTTGCAAACGTAACTGTTTACCCCAAATACTTCAGCATTTTATTTCCTAAGAACAAGGACATTCTCTTATATATCCACAGAACTGTAATCAAAATTAGGAAACTTAACATTGATAACTAATGTATAATTCGTAATCAGATTTTACCAGTTATATTAATAAAGTTCTTTTTCTTCTTTTCTTTTCATTTTCTTTTTTTTTTTTTTTTTTTACTTTTTGAGATGGGGTTTTGTTCTGTCGTCTGTGCTGGAATGCAGTGGCATGATCATGGCTTACTGCAGCCTTGACCTCCTGGACTCAAGTGATCCTCCTGCCTCAGCCTCCTGAGTAGCTGGGACCACAGGCACATGCACCATGCCCTGCTAATTAAAAAAATTTTTATGTAGAGATGGGGTCTCACTGTCTTGTCCAGTCTCGTTTCGAATTCCTGGGCTCAAGCAATCTTCCTGCCTCAGCCTCCCAAAGTGCTGGGACTACAAGTGTGCGCCAGTGCAGGTGGCCTAATAAAGTTCTTTGTATCAGTTTCCCTGATCTGGGATCCAACTCAGGATTATACATCATGTTTAATTTTTTTTTATGTTTCTTTAGTCTTCTTTAATGTGGAGCAGTTCCTCGGTCCTTGTTTCTTGTGACATTGACATTTTTGAATAGTACAAGCTTATTATTTTGTAGAATCTCCCTCATTTTTGGATCGTTTGGTTCCTTGTGATGTGTCATGTTCAGTGCATCTGTATCAGGAGGCACACGATGTCAGGAAATACTGACTTTGATCACTTGGTTAAGGCATCCGTACTGTAAATTACCATTTTACTCTTCTTTGGTAGTAATTTGAGGGGAGATACTTTGAGACTATGTAAATATCTTGTTCCTCATCAAACATTTACCCACTGCTTTAAAGATCCATTGATGGGTCTTGCCTTAATCAGTTTATTACTATGATGGTTGCAAAGATGATCTTCTAATTATTCTATTTGCATTTTTTTTTTTTGAGACGGAGTCTTGCTCTGTAGCCCGGGCTGGAGTGCAGTGGCCGGATCTCAGCTCACTGCAAGCTCCGCCTCCCGGGTTTACGCCATTCTCCTGCCTCAGCCTCCGGAGTAGCTGGGACTACAGGCGCCCGCCACCTCGCCCGGCTAGTTTTTTGTATTTTTAGTAGAGACGGGGTTTCACGGTGTTAGCCAGGATGGTCTCGATCTCCTGACCTCGTGATCCGCCCGTCTCGGCCTCCCAAAGTGCTGGGATTACAGGCTTGAGCCACCGCGCCCGGCCTGCATTTTTTTTAAACTGGCTTTCTACTATAAGAAAGCTCTTCCTTCTTATTTATTATCAGTATGAACTCATAGATTTATATTTTATTTGATGAGTTAGAATCTATTACTGTCATTATTTATTTTGATATCAAATTGTCCTAAATTTGGCCAGTAGGAGCTCTTTTGAGTTGGCTCTTGTTTGCATTGGTCCCTGTCAATTTTGAGTGCTTCCTTACTTTATGGTACAACAGGATGGTCAAATTCATCTTATACTTCCCTGCCGCAGCCCTGAAATCAGCTTGTCTCCAAGTTTCCTGGTTTGCCTTCAGAAACCCAGATCTAGGTTCAGATTGTGCTCATGGCTTCTGTGGTTCATCCATGTTTAAAAAAACAACAGCCAGAACTCCCCAAGTGAGTCTGTTTGATATCCTAGGTGGAGAATATCATGCCATTTTTTCTGACAGCTGCTGTGTACCTGTGAGGTGGGTCCTCTGATCCTCATTTTATAGATACAGAAGCTACAGCCCTGGAGAAGTTTAGTAGCCTGCCTGACATCAACAGCTAGGAAGAGACAAAAGAAGGAACATTTATACTGTTTCCACCTCAGCAAGAGGCTCCAAAAATGGGACTGAAATGTAGCTCGGGTGGCTTAGCCAGGCCCGTTTCTCCCATGCTGTCTCAACCCCTTTCTCTTTAAGCATATGGTGAGTGTGTTTAGAGAGATTGACCATCCCTAGCCAGCTGTACCTGCAAGGCCCCAGGCTCCACTTCCCAAGGGAGTGGAGCCTACTCACCAAAGCCCCTGTATCTGTAGCTTGATCCAGCTGGAGGCCTTCCTGAGCCGCCTGTGCTGCACCTGTGAAGCTGCCTACCGTGTGCTGCACTGGGAGAACCCCGTCGTGTCCTCACAGTGAGTGACCCCTCCTCTCCCACCACTACCCTGTTGGAATTTGCAGCTTGAGCCTGAGCAAAGCCAGCTGCCTTGAGAGGACCTCTGCCCCTCCTACCTCAGGGGAAGAGCTCGCCTCCTGGGCTCTTGTGTGTGTATCTGCGCATATGCTTGTGGGCTCTAATGTAGGCTTTTGTTTAGATGCTTGCTTTTATGTGTGGTAAAAATATTTTAATAATAGGAAAATAACTCACCATGTAATCCACTGTGCAGCCCAATCTCATATTTGTTTTGCTTGCTAGAATTTGTCACATGCATCTACTTTATGGATGTATAATTTCGTAGTGTATGTTTGATTTTTCTTTTGTTTTCCACTTATTATATTAATGATGATTTTCTTTGTTGTATAGCCTTTGGAATTATTTATAATACCAGATTAATATAGATGGCAAATATAGTTTATGGAACCATTCTGTTGTAGATTTAATCAATTTCTCTTTACTAACCCCATGGTAAACATTTTTATGGATTTAGCTTTAATCTGTTAGAAAATTTTTCTTCTTTTTTTTTTTTTTTTTGAGACGGAGTCTCGCTCTGTCACCCAGGCTGGAGTGCAGTGGCCCGATCTCAGCTCACTGCAAGCTCCGCCTCCCGGGTTCACGCCATTCTCCTGCCTCAGCCTCCCGAGTAGCTGGGACTACAGGCGCCTGCCACCTCGCCCGGCTAAGTTTTTGTATTTTTAGTAGAGACAGGGTTTCACTGTGTTACCCAGGATGGTCTCGATCTCCTGACCTCGTGATCCGCCCGTCTCGGCCTCCCAAAGTGCTGGGATTACAGGCTTGAGCCACCGCGCCCGGCCAAGAAAATTTTTCTTAGAATAAATTCAAGGATGAAACTACCATATCAAACAGAATAGGTGTTTTTGAGGCTCTTTAATGTGAATAATAGTGATAACTAATGTTTGTTGTCTTCACCTGGTGCCAGGCACTGCTCAACACGTCCTCTGTGTTATCTCACTCTTACAGTAACTCCATTAGTAGGCGCTATTTCAGTCCCCATCTTACACAGGTAGGGAGCCGTGCCCAGAGAACCAAGAGACTTCTCAGAATGAGAAGTGGCAGAGCTGGATTCAATCCCAGTCTGTCTTACTCTAGACTTCAGAGTCTAGACCTTGAGGAGTGATCATAGTTGAACGAGTTCATGTGCCCCCAGCTGATACCACCTCGGCCTCACCAGCATTAGATATTTGCACTGGTGACTTGTAGTTCTCAGTCTTCATCGCCATTTTCCACTGGTTTGATGAGCGGGTCTTGTCAGTTTATTAATGTGCCCAGAGCTGTGTCTCACCTGGACCCCACTGTGGGTTTGCTCCAAACCCGTCTCCTTCTGCTGTTATGAATTTCTGATCTTGTGGTTCTTCCCTGTCATCCAGGTTCTATGGGGCTCTTCTGGGCACGGTCTGCATGCTGTATTTGCTGCCACTCTGCTGGGTCCTCACCCTTTTAAACAGCACCCTCTTTCTGGGGAATGTGGAGTTCTTCCGAGGTAAGCCCTGGAGGGCCTGACAGGGACGGGGCCCAGGCTGGTTCTGATGGCTAGGCTAGGCTCCGCAGTTCTGTCTCTATAGCTAATCATCAGTTTGCTGTGCTTCCACAAGGGGCAGCACCACACTGGGGTCCTCTCTCATGGGTTCTGTGTCTCTGAGATGTTAGATGAAGCTGGAATCTCACCAGGGGAGGCTGCTACCATTAGGCTCCCATCTCCCTTCCCTCCCTTCCCAAGGCAGATGAATCACTGCTTATATGGTATGCTGGCTTCTGGAAGATGAGGGAAGGATGTTTTCCCAAAGCTGCCACCCATCCCCTGGGGTGCAGCCACCTGGAGTTGCTACCCCATGTCTGTGTGATCCCAGAGTACCCGTCTGTTGTCTGGCTTCTAAAGCGCGAAGCAGTCTGGAGAGGCACTGAGTCCCAGAGGCCTGAGTCTGTACCTATGTTGGGTGATTGCTGTATTTGTTTTCCTCCCTGTGGTAGAGTAATTAATTACAGAAGCTGTGATTTATTGACCATTTACTACATTTAATCTCTGTAGCCGTCTGGGGCAGGTGGTGGTATCTAAGTTTTGTTGAAGAGGCTCAGGTTAGGTGACTTGCTCAGAGTTAGGAGGGCGACTCTTTCCCGTAGCAGAGGGAGGAGAGGCCAGCCAGCTGCAGAAGTGGGTACCCCCAAAGTGCCACTCATGGTGTCTCATTTTTGCCTCCTACCCTGTTCTCCGTTCCCTGGGTAGTTGTGTCTGAGTACAGGGCATCTCTGCAGCAGAGGATGAACCCAAAGCAGGAAGAGCATGCCTTTGAGAGCCCTCCACCACCAGATGTTGGGGGGAAGGGTGGTCTGATGGACAGCACGCCTGCCCTCACACCCACGGAGGTAAGTGCCACTGTCAGGGCAGAGCCTGCTGTGGCAGCTTGTGGGCCCCCCTGTTATCAGCTTGTTTATGGCTCCTGGGCTGGCCTCTGTTGTAGTTCCTGCTGTTTCCCAGGCCTTATCTCCCCTGAAGTGTTTAATAATAATAATTGCAATAAAAGCAACTACTCCATGCTTCATTGAGTGCTTACCCTGTGTCAGATGCTGCTCCAAGTGCTTTATAGATAGACAGTCACGTCATGGAGTGCAGGTTCGTTCTTTCTCCTTTTCTTTCTTTTTTTTTTTTGTTTTAATTTTTTTTGAGATAGGGTCTCCCTCTGTCACCCAGGCTAGAGTGCAGTGGGGCAATCACGGCTCACTGCAACCTCCACCTCCTGGGCTCCGGCAGTCCTCCCGTCTCAGCCTCTTGGGTAGCTGGGATGTAGGCATGTGCCATCATGCCCAGCTAATTTTTTTGTATTTTTAGTAGAGATGAGGTTTTGCTATGTTGCCCAGGCTGGTCTCAAACTCCTGGGCTCAAGTGATGTGCCTGTCTCGGCCTCCCAAAGTGCTGGGATTACAGGCGTGAGCCACCACACCAGGCTGGTGTCTAAGACCCCAGCCCTGTGGTTCTAGAGCTCATACCCTCAACCACTGTGTGATGCGGCCACTGTAGGGCCAGCCGTGCTCGTGCTTCCATCTCCCTCACCCTGCCAGGCTAGAGGTTGCTCCTTCCTGTGATTTCCTTCTTTCTTGCAGTTGTGCCATTTCCTGGTGTTTTGGGTAGCCTAGATGCTGGCTTGGGGAGGTGGTCCTCTGCCTTAGGGAGCAACGCTGCCATCCTTCTCCTTCTGTCATAGAGTCTCTCTTCCCAGGACCTCACACCGGGCAGCGTGGAGGAGGCTGAGGAGGCTGAGCCAGATGAGGAGTTTAAAGATGCGATTGAGGTGGGTGGCCCTTCCCCAGCATCCTCTATTGAGCAGGCCAAAAATTGGGTGGTCCTGGAGCTGTTTTTTGTTTTTGTTTTTCAATGTCCAAGTGAGAAGCTAAAACTTGCTGTGAGCTAGAACTGGTTGAAAGGGTGCCACTGAACCCCTCCCTGCTCCTGTTTCTTGTTGAGCCAACTGTCCTGGGTGCCCAGGGCAAGAGTGGCTCTGGAAGTCTCTGGGTAATGCCCTACTCGGGGAGCTGGATGATTTCTGGCCTTTGCTGGAGACCGTGAGCTTGGTGCCTTTGATATAGGAAAGGCAGCTTTTGAGGAGGCTGCTGCCCTGGGTCTCCGCTCTTCTGCAGAGTGAGTCCCATAAGATGTCCCTTTGCCGGGCAGGGAGGGGAGGTTGGAGAAAGTAGTTGCGTGGCCAACTGCTAGGTCGGGGAAGTTAAACAGCCTTCTTGATTTTAGGATGGTGATTCAGACTGGTAGTTTGCAGAAGTTGTTTTATTTGGCATGCAAAGTTTCAAAATAATTTTTTGAGCCGATGTTTAAATATGGAGAGATTTTTGTTAGAACTGCAGGTTTCCAGTTTCTCTGGTAGCCCTGAGTATGCAGCAGTAGGTGTTGCTAAGGAGCTGCTGTCCCCTTTACGCAGGTCACATGTGGCTACAGGTGGTCTTCAACACCCCTGCTGTATCTTGTCGCTGAGATCAAGTGGCAGTTGCCATTTGTCACATTTGCGTTTTTGTTTTTCTTAGAGTAGGATATAATTTCTCTTTATTTATTTCTCTTTGTAAAGTGGGAAATTGAGATATAAGAAAAACACCTCGTGGATTTCCACTAGGCCTGTGATTTACCCCAACTCACCTCAATCATACATCAGCCCAGGCCATGCAGGCATTTGACTTTCTGATGGCTAAAAGATTGCTCCAAAACTTTGATATATGATTATAGACCGTGAATCTTGGTGGAGGGAATATGTAGAGCAGGGGTTTTCAAGCATTTTTGTTCATGACCTGTAGTAAGGAACACATTTTGCATCTTGACCCAGTTCACACTTAGGTCTATAAAATATGTAAAACTTAAGTGAAACAAAAGTTTCCTGAAAATACATTTTAAGGGATATTTTCTTTCCTTTTTTGTTCTACTCAAATAAAGACCTACTAAATTAATATCACCCAGTTTGAGAAACAGTAGTACCCAGCTTTCTCCAAGACTGTTCGATGCTGGGATCCTCTTTTGGCGGGGGCGTCTGTCAACGTAACCATTTGGGAAGTGCGCAGAGCCCAGAGCAGTGCTTCCATGCTTCCCTCTGCTTGGGGGCCCCTCCGGGCAGCTTCTTTCTTCTTGCTATCTTTTTCTCTCTGTTTTCTCTCCTCTTCCCCGCACCTTGGGAGGCAGGAGACCCACTTGGTGGTTCTGGTAAGTGGAAGCCTTGGTGGGTGGGCAGGGGCTGGGCTGGGGAGGGTAGCTGAACCGGCTGCTGCCACACCTCGTGGGGGCTGCTGTGCCGGATGCCTCTGCACACAGGTCCTGCAGCCTTGCAAGAGGTGGGCAGGACTGGAAGGAGCTGTTCCCACAGGAGGATGATGAGGGTGTCCCGTGCCCAGCAGAGGACGAGCTGGCCCTGCAGGACAACGGGTTCCTGAGTAAGAATGAGGTGCTGCGCAGCAAGGTGTCTCGGCTCACGGAGCGGCTCCGCAAGCGCTACCCCACCAACAACTTCGGTTCGGCCAGGGCACAGGGCTGGGCTGGCGGGAGAGTAGGGTGGGACTGCTGGGACTCGGCGGGGGAACACCCAGCCACCGGGGCAGAGCCTCAGAACTGTGGGTACTGACTTGTGACAAGAGCAAGGAGTGAAGGTGTGTCCACGGGACCCTGGGGCGCTAGCAGATGCCCAGCAGGACTGTTGAGGGAGTGGGTGTGGGTTCCTTCTTATCCCTCTGTCCTGATTGGACATTCACTTGTGGGAAGACAAGGAACTCAGTTTGGGAAATGCCATCCCGGGACTGCAGAGAACCGTAATCCTGACAGAACTTCAGAAGGCAGTGTAGCATGATGGCGAGGAACAGAGTGGAGTCTCACCGCTTGCTGCAAATCCCAGCTCAGCCAGGTGTCCTTGATCAAATTATTTCACACCCTGTGCCTCAATTGCCCCTTCTGTAAAAGGGGGATCATCATTCTGACCTCATAGGGTTGTTACAGGTCTCATGTCAAATGAGACAGTAGTACTTATGAAGGGCACAGTGCTGGTTGGTTCATAGTGAGTAGTGGGTGCGGTTAATGTGGGAGGCCCTGGCCCACCCCGTGGGTTCCTAGGATCCTGTCTTGGTCTTTCTCATTCAACTGGAAGCAAGTTGAAGCAAACATTGTTTCTCTGGACATCATAAGAGCCCTGAGTTCACCTCTTCCCAGTCAGTCCTTATTTTACTGAGGGTTGGGGAGAGTGGTCAAGGAAGGCAGCTTTGGAGAAGGGTGGACTTGATGGTTAGCACAGCTTGGAGACCTGGCTTAGATCAGCAGTGTTGGGAGCTGAGCCACGTGACAATTGTGGAGGAAGCCTAGAGTAGCTAGGTTGACCTGGGAGCCGCTTGCTCCTGAGGAAGGGCCCTCCTGCCTGCTGTCAGATGGGACCAGGGGAAGGGGGCAGTACTGTGGGTTCTGGTGTCAAGTTCTAGGGTCTGTGCCCTGGAAGAAGCCTATGGAGTTTATCTTGAGGAATTTAACTCAGGGCCCCCAGGGTCCTGCCTTCCTACCCCCGCAGCAACCAGCGCAGTTGTTTTCTCAGGATTAGATGTCCTGGACAGGCTCTTTCCTTCTGCTGTGTGAATGTCCCCCAGTTATTCAAGATCTCTTTCTTTTTTTTTGAGACAAGGTCTCTGTCTCACAGGCTGGAGTGCAGTGGCATGATGACAGCTCACTGCAGCCTCGACTTCCTGGGCTCGAGTGATCCTCACAGCTCAGCCTCCCGAGTAGCTGGGACTGCAGGCATGCAGCACCATGCCTGGCTAATTTTTGATTTTTTTTTTCTAGAGACGGGGGTCTTACCTTGTTTCTCAGGCTGGTCTCGAACTCCTGGGTACAAGTAATCCTCGTACCTTGGTCTTCCAAAGTGTTAGGATTACAAGTGTGAGCCACCACTCCTGGCCCCTTTGTTTTATTTATGCTGCTGGCTGACTTCTGTAGGGCATTCTGTATGTTCAGTGATCTGTTTACCCTCCATACTTGCACATGTGTGATCTCATTTCATCCTTACTGTAGGTGTGACAGGAGCAGGCAGTTCTTAAGGGCTCAGAGCAGCCAGGTTCCAGCAGTCCCCAGTAGCACTACACACAAGAAGTATTACTCTGGTCCAGCAAATAATTTTCTATTTCTACAACTTCTAAGTTAAGGTACTTAGTTGTTCCCATTTTACAGATGAGTAACCTGAGGTAAAAACAGTGCTTTGTCCAAAGACTTTAGCCTGGAAATGGCAGAGCTGTGACTCAAATTCAGATCGTCTAATTCGGCTCTTGTGTTCTTTGTACCTCTTCATCCTCCCTCTCCATTTTCCCTTTACTCTCATGTGTGGAGTCCCTTGTTTTATGCCTGTCCCGCTTTTGCATTTGATTTTTGATTTGGATAATCTCTGCCAACATGGGCAGAGGCCTTTTCAGTTTCCCTCAAGGATAGCAAGGGCAGAAAGTGCTTCTTTTCCTAAACCCCTCTTAGCTCCTCATCCTTCAAGACCACTCACTTCTTTTCCTTTTCTGAAATGTTCTCAAGCTCTTTGCCCTGAGGACAGGTGTAGCAGCTCTGCTCCTGCAGCCTCTGCTCATGGGTCTGGGTCCTGAGAGCAGGGCGAGGGGAGCTGCTTTGGGGGCTATCTTTCTCCATTTCAACTGCTATAATGAAATACACTAAGCCGCGTGGCTTTTAAGTAGTGGAAATCTTTCTCAGTTCTGGAGGCTGGAAGTCCAAGATCAGGGTGTCAGCAGGATCAGGTTCTGGTGAGGTCCATTTCCGTCATCATAGACAGCACCTTCTTACTGTGTCCTCATGAGAAGGTGGGAGGGTCACAGCAGTTCCCTGGGGCCTCTTTTATAAGGGCACTAATCCCATTCACGAGGGCTCCACCCTCATGACCCAGTCACCTCCCAGGGACCCTGCCTTGGGTGTTAGGATTCCACATGTGAATGTTGGGGGACTGTAGCGGGGGCCATTCTGTTTACCCCTGCCCGTGGATGAGGGGATGCATGGGGAGAATGAGGGCAGACTGTGCAGGAGCTTCTCTGTGGCCTCTGTGTGGGAGAGGTCTTGGTGGGGAGGGCCCTCCTTTGTCCTGGAGGCTCCGTGACTGTTGCCCTGGCAGGTCCCACTGGGCCTTAGTGCCCCTGCTCTCATGGCCTCGGTGGCATCATCACATGGTGAGTGAGGATGGGTGAGTCCAGGCCGTTGCCGAGAAGGGGCAGAAAGAGTTGGTAGGTGTTGGAAGGGAACATCACCTGAGTGAGGTGCTGTCAGTGCCCAGAGCCCTCCCTGGCTCTGGCCTGTGTGTGGGTTCACAGCTGTCTCACCAGCCCACTTGGCTGTCCTGGGCTGCTTGGCCCTGGCATCCCATTCAGTTCAGAGGAGCCCTTGGGCACAGGCCAGTGTCAGTCTTTGAGTAGCTCCTTTTGCCTGTCCCATTCACCTGCCTCCCTTGTTAAGGAGAGGCTGGGGCAGGCTGGCTTCCCCAAATTCTTAGTGTAGGGACAGAATCTTGGAGCAGCCAGTTTCCTGGTTTGGCACCAGCAGCACGCTCGTTCTTCTCTTTCCCTGGCTGATGGACAGAGTGGGCATTTATCTGAAGCGCTTTGGCCTCAGATTTCCCCTGGCTCTATCTCAGGTCTTCCTTTCCCTGAACCTAGGGAGTCTCCTTTAGCAAGAACTTCAGGTGATTTTGGTTGGACAGAGGAAGGGACCACGTGTAGCCGTCAATAAAGCTTTGGGGCCTTTGTGTGAAAGTGAGGCATGGTGCTCTGTACCTGCCCAGACAGGTGGTCTGGCTGGGTCACAGCAGGACTATGGGCCCCACATCCCAGAAACCTCCTCCTTCCCTATCTTTCCTCTCCCTTTACACCCTATTGTTGTCTTCTAGCCATTTTCTAAGCTGCCGTTGCCCCTCCACTGTTGCCGGGCACTTGGCCATCCTGGCATCTCTGGTGGTTTAGGCAGGACCTTGCCTTGCTCTGCGTCCCCCCATGCCACTCACTGCCTACCACAATTGAGCATTCTACCCTTCATGTCTTCTCGGAATATGCCTGGCTCTCAGCTTCTGTCCTACAGTCTTCAGGGGACAGAAAGCAGGAGTTTGGGTTTTTAGGAGGAGTTTCTGTCTTTAGCCTGTGGGTGGAGTATTTGTAAGGCGTTGCTCTGGAAAGGGTCGTGTTAGGCAGGTGTCATTTGGGAATGCCTGTGGTCAGGTCCCTGCCAGCTTAGCTGGCTTTCCAGGAGTGGATTCTGCTGGGTGCTCCTTGAGTTCTGTTGAACCTGCAGGTGGGGCCACTCAGCTCTGGAAGGGTTCAGGGACTGGTACCTATGTATGGCTGGAGACATCAGTTCTCAGGGGCTATCAGTGTTCTTAGTTTGAGTCCTTCTTTCTGGCTCTGAATCTGGCCTTGCTCCCTGGCTCACTGTGTCCACCCAAGGAGGCTGGGCAGGTGTCCTGAGTATCCCATTTAGAAGTGCCAGGAGCAGGTGAGCGTGAGAGTCCTGGGATGGGCGGGGACTGAGCTGCTGCTTCTGTTTCTCAGGAAACTGCACGGGCTGCTCGGCCACCTTCTCAGTGCTGAAGAAGAGGGTGAGTGTGAGGTTGCATTTGTTGGGAACAGTGTCCTTGGGACTGTCGGGTGGGGAGGAGTTGAGGGGAGTCACTGAGGAAGTCTGGCTCGGGTCACATTGGGCCTGGCAGTGGCTTTCTGGAGTGAGTGTGCCCTCCCCTGCCCCTGTGCCACCTTTCACCAGTCTCCCCAGGGGGCATTCCATTTGCTGTCTTTCCTGCTCTACTTGTGCACCCCCCAGTCCCAGTTTCCTTGGGTGGGATCAGCTGGTGTAAAGGAGGGAGGCGATGAGAACTCCAGGTGCCTGAGGGTGGGGGACACACTGACCTTGGCTCTTGTCTGCAGCGGAGCTGCAGTAACTGTGGAAACAGCTTCTGCTCTCGATGCTGCTCCTTCAAGGTCCCCAGGTCCTCCATGGGGGCCACAGGTGAGTGGTGCAGGTGGTGGCAGGGCTTGGTTGGTATCCCGTCAAGGGGATGCCACATCGTGGCAAGGGGGCAAGGGTGTCAGAGGTCAAGGGAACTTGGGATTGTAGTCAGGTCTATGGGAACATTTCCTCCATCCCCTTTAGCAAAAATTCTGAAACATTTGGTACATGCCGAAGAATAGATATGATGTACCTGTGAATTATGAAGGGTAATAACAAGATGAATACCTGTGGCCGCGTCACTAAAGTTGAAAAACAAGAGCACTGGCAACATCCCCGTGGCTCCCAGCACTGCTCCTGCCTTCCTGGAGTCAATCCCAGCTGCACTTTTAATCTTTTTCTTATTTCCTTGGCACTTTGAACAAAAGTTAAAAATCCCTTTTTTCCTTTTATAAAAGCTGTACATACATGTTGTAAATAAAACAACACAGATAAGCAAAAGGAGGAAAAATATTCCTGATTTCTTCCCGAGGAAACAATCGGACGTGGCCCCTGCTGCTCATTAGCTTGCATGTAGAATAAAAGCGTGTGCATATTCCTGAAAAATGTGGTCACATTTCATGTACCATTTTGTAATATAACATTAAACCAAGTTATTTTTTTTTGAGATGGAGTTTCGCTCTTGTTGCCCAGGCTGGAGTGCAGTGGTACGACCTTGGCTCACCACAACCTCTGCCCCCTGGGTTCAAGCGATTCTCCTGCCTCAGCCTCCCGAGTAGCTGGGATGACAGGCATGCACCACCACACCCGGCTAATTTTGTATTTCTAGTAGAGATGGGGTTTCTCCATGTTGGCCAGACTGGTCTTGAACTCCTGACCTCAGGTAATCTGCCCGCCTCGGCCCCGCAAAGTGCTAGGATTACAGGTGTGAGCCACTGCGCCCAACCCAAGTTCTTTTTTCTTCCAATGCAAGTAACACATGCTTACTAACTAGAAAATTTGGAAATTCTTAATCAGAAGAAGAAGGAAGAGAAAAATAACCCTGTAATCTTACCACCCAGAGATAACCACTGTTAAAACATTTTGGGAAATTTCACTGTGACATTTTACTTATTTTAGTCTTAGTTTTTTGAGACAGAGTCTCGCTCTGTCGCCCAGCCTGGAGTGCAGCGGCGCCATCTCGGCTCACTGCAACCTGTGCCTCCTGGGTTCAGACAATTCTTGTGCTTCAACCTCTTGAGTAGCTGGGATTACAGGCATGCACCACCACGCCTGGCTAATTTTTGTATTTGATATTTTATTTAAAAAGACATTTTTAAAGGTGTTCTGTTCGTGCCACAGTGATGTCTAATTCATAGCACAGGAGCAGCCTGCTGTTGGCATCATCACGCCCGGGATCCCTAGTTCCCATGGAAAGAAGAGTCTCTGAGGGCAGGCTAGCAAGCTGGGCAGGGAGGGTGTGGGCTGGGTCGGGGGTCTGTGGGGGGCATTTGGGAGGTGGTTCTAGTAGTTGGGGCCATGAACCAAAGGGCACAAGGAAATGTCTCACCAAGTTCTTCCTCCTTTTCAGCCCCTGAAGCCCAGAGGGAGACTGTGTTTGTGTGTGCCTCGTGTAACCAGACCTTGAGCAAGTGAGAAGAGAGGCCAGGGTCCAACCAGGCACCCATCCTTGGGGCCAGCAGTAGGCGCCCCACTCTCCCCACCCCGGCCCCCTGTGGTGTGTGCTGGGCAAATGTGGCCTGAATGCTAGGTAGGCTTCCCCTTCCTTCCTCGCTCTCTCCAGCTGGATTCTGGAGCTGTTCTCCACCCCTGAGAGTGGCTGGCAATGGCTGCTCTCAATCCCTTGGGGAGAGGAGCCCCTGGAGGGCCTGGCATGTTGCCCTGCTCTGCCTGGGACTGAATGAGTGGACTCAGGGCTGGGCAGGCAGTAGCCACCAGAGGGCAGCAGTGAACTAGGTCAGGTCTGACTGGGGTCTGATGACCAGCGTCAGTGTGGCTATGCCTGGGAATTCCAGACCTGAGGTTGGGAAAAGAGGTTTTTCTCCTGTAGGGTACTGGCCAGGCCCTCAGCCTCAGAGAGCCTGCAGAAGGGCTTGGGAGTGCCACACCCCATCTCTGCTGATTGAATGTCCTTCCAGGCACCAGGATCTCATCATTTCCCCCATCAGAGGGTGTGGCCAGGCCTAACAAGACCAGGGGTGCTTCTAGAAACAGGGTTTAAGTTCCCAGATTCCCCCAGAGGAGAATGTGTATAGGAGGGGTTGGCTGAGTCCTTCAGCATTAAGTGGAGGAAAGCATGGGGAAGCCCCAACAGCTGGACAGACCTCAGCCTCCCCTCGAAGACGCCTCAATTCACAGACTCAGCCCACACGATGCCCTAGTGTCCCCAGCTGCGCTGGAGCAGCTGGATCACAGGGCACTCGGATCACAACTTCTGCACCCTCTGCCCAGAGTCTGGGGCAGTCCTCCACTGGCCCAGCGCTCCAGCTTCCTTTCCCTGCCTCTTGCCCCATGGAGTGGGAGGCCAGGTGAGTGGAGCAGAGGTCCTGAAGCCCTTGACCCCTGGGGGCCTGGGAAGTGTAGGATCTTTCTGGACTGGGTCCTGGATCCCGGGGCTATTCCCTGGAGGACAGTCTTAGTTATGGGATAAGGTCCCTTGGGGGTCTCCATTTCCTTTCCAACAATTTCATGTTCACTACTGGACTCTTACGGGCTCAGTATCTCTCCCTTAGCCATGAGCTGGCTCAGGCATCCCTTCCCTTCCCTGGAGCTGCTTTGCCTTTCAAAAGTATTTATTTATTTATTGCATGGTTCCTGGGAACATGTAGCATAAGGAATGGGATGAGGAGGAATTGGGAGGCGGTCTCCTACCTAGAGCTCTTCCCTGGAATCATGGACTGCCTGGGACCCAGGACCTATGAGGGGGCCGAGAGGTTTCTACACTCGGGGAGCAGGGGTGCAGAGAGGCAGGTTGGGGAGACAAGGGACCCATCCTAGGCCCAGACCAAGCAGTTTAGCTGCGACTCTACAGCCAGGGGCCTGCCCAGGCCAGTGGAGGAACCAGAGCTCTGGGGAGCCTGGCACGCTTTGGTATCGTATCGCCTCTGTGTCCTGTTAGGAGAGTTCAGTACCCCGTGCTTTCTTTACACTGGAGAGGAACTAAAAGGATCTCTGTGTCTATGGAGAATTGTCAATAAAAAGGCCTCAAGCTTCTTGTTTTTGTCTTGTCCTTGTGTTGGCATTTTCCCTGAGACTGGAAGACCAGATCTCCCTGGCACTGCTGGAGTTTTGCAGGCCTGGGCAATTCCTGCAGGACCAGGCTGAGGGGCGGGCCTTTGGGGCACCCTGGTGGCAGGGGTGTGGGGACTGCAGCTTGGTCTGGGTGTGAGCTGGGGGCCAAGAGGAGGAAAGCTGTGCCTTGCACACAGGAGGGGCTCAGCACATGCTTGTCGGATTGACTTGAGGCCTAGTCTTGTGACCAAATTGTGAGGGCCCAGCACTGGGGGTTGGGGTTGGGACTAGAACTTGGTAAATGCCAAACAATGCAGACTTTAGAATGGAAAGATTTTAATCCCTCTGAGAAAGCCAGAAAGGGTGAGCCTTCAGGGAGGCCGAGAGCGGCAGGAAAGAGGATTGGACATGAGATGGGAAGTACGCACCATGCCCTGAGCTGGGGCAGGGGGGTGGCAGGTGGCTGGGTGCTGGGCACTGGTAAGGGCTTTGTGTGCGGTATCTCATTTATTGCTTGCAACAACTCTTGAGGTAAGCACTGTTCCCCCGAAGCAGGAACAGAGTCCCCGCAGAGGTAGAGGGTGGTGCCTGGCGCTGCCTGCTGTGGCCCAGCTCCATGCTTGGCCCCTTTACCATCTGTTGGAGTGGTGCTGGGGCCTGTTGGCACAGGGGTGCTGCCCCCAGGCTCACTGTGCTTTCCTCCTGTGGAAAGTGCACCTGATGGTGATGTGTATCTGGTGTGGGTGCTGTGAGAGAAATGAGAGAGAGAGTCTGTGGGAGGCATGGGGCATGGTGCCTGGCATGCTGGACACATTGGCTCCTGTCATCCCGGCCACCTTTAGAGGACAAACAGCTCTGTCCTGGGTGGCTTAGAAGAGTGATCTTTTTTTCTTTTAAACCAGAGAATAATTTTAGAGTATTCTTCAGAGAAGAGTATCAGAGGCACGAGTGTAGTTTGGAAAAGCAGAGTCAATACATTTTATTTTTGGAAAATGAAAATGCCAAATGTTGGTGAAATCTTGACCATAACAGCAGTGACTTGAAGCCTGTGCTTGCAGGCATGGATTACAGAGATGGGAGAAACATGAGTTTCCATCCTTGGGTAGCAGCCTCAGAGAAGGGGATGCTAGTGGGCCTTGTCCCCTTGAGGTGCCCCTGAGAGTAGGCAGGGGACATAACTTTCAATTGCAGGTACCACTGGGAAGTGAAGTCACGGAGGGATTGTGCTTTAGAACTGGCTGCATCCACAGCATGGAGAGGACCTGCACGTGGGTGGCCTGGAAGACAAATTGTCCATGTTTGAAAAAAAAAAACACACACACACAATTTGTTCTCAGGCCCCTGAGGAGGAGGGGATGGGGAACCAGAC